ATGGGTAATGACGATCCGACGCGGGCGCGCAGCGGCGCGGTGCAGATGTTCGACGCTCCCGGCGGCTCGGCGCAGCGCGGCCGCGGCCCCGGCCGCGGGCCTCCGCCCGTCGGGGGCTACGACGACGCCGCCGGCCGGGACATGCCCTACGGCGGCGGCACGCCCATCGACGCCGACTCCGTAGGAGGAGCGCCGCGCACGGCCGTGCGCGGGAGCCGCATCGTCGGCTTTGGCGGCGGCGGCGAGTACGACGACCCGGCGGCCGATGCTCTCGGCGGATTGCGCGGCCCCGGACACGGGCCTCCTCCCGTCGGGGGCTACGACGACGCGGCGGGACAGGGCCGGGTCTACGGCGGAGGGACGCGCATCGAGGACCCCTCGGCGGCGCCCGGCTACGGCGGCGGCACGCCCATGGACGACTCGGCAGGAGCGCCGCGCACGGCCGTGCGCGGGAGCCGCATCGTCGGCTTCGGCGGCGGCGGCGAGTACGACGATCCCGCGGCCGGCGATCCGATGGCCGGCGATCGAGGAGACGCGGGCCCGTCGGTGCGAGGGAGTCGCATCGTCGGCTACGGCGGCGGCGGCGACTACGACGATCCCGCCGTCGGCGATCCGGGCGCCGCGGGGCTCTCCGACGCTCCCGGCGGCTCGGCGCAGCGCGGCCGCGGCCCCGGCCGCGGGCCTCCGCCCGTCGGGGGCTACGACGACGCCGCCGGCCGGGACATGCCCTACGGCGGCGGCACGCCCATCGACGCCGACTCCGTAGGAGGAGCGCCGCGCACGGCCGTGCGCGGGAGCCGCATCGTCGGCTTCGGCGGCGGCGGCGAGTACGACGATCCCGCGGCCGGCGATCCGATGGCCGGCGATCGAGGAGACGCGGGCCCGTCGGTGCGAGGGAGTCGCATCGTCGGCTACGGCGGCGGCGGCGACTACGACGATCCCGCCGTCGGCGATCCGGGCGCCGCGGGGCTCTCCGACGCTCCCGGCGGCTCGGCGCAGCGCGGCCGCGGCCCCGGCCGCGGGCCTCCGCCCGTCGGGGGCTACGACGACGCCGCCGGCCGGGACATGCCCTACGGCGGCGGCACGCCCATCGACGCCGACTCCGTAGGAGGAGCGCCGCGCACGGCCGTGCGCGGGAGCCGCATCGTCGGCTTCGGCGGCGGCGGCGAGTACGACGATCCCGCGGCCGGCGATCCGATGGCCGGCGATCGAGGAGACGCGGGCCCGTCGGTGCGAGGGAGTCGCATCGTCGGCTACGGCGGCGT